TCTGAAACAGTCTTCCTTAAAATGTGAGACAAGCTTCTTCTCTGACAACGTTCTAATCCAAGTTAAAAACAGTTCGGCCTTGTATGTAGTTGTTTTGTTAAGCCAGAGGTGTCCAAACTTTTTAGTAAGAGAGCCACTAACCCTATCCCGGGAATGTCCCCTGGGCAGACCACGCAGATTGTAAAAGACTGAGCTGAAGTTGGCTGAATGACAAACGTCTCTCCCCAGTTGCATTAGCGTCTCGGATGGAAGTTGCCGCTGGTTCTGAGCTATACAACAATGCACAGTATACCTATATTCGAGGAGCTGAAGTTGGCTGGATGACACTGTGATTGTATGTTTACGATCTCAGTGTTACTTGTGGTTAGCGAGGCAGAGGGCCACATGACATGACACAATGGGCCGCAATCGTCGCGCAGGCCTGAGTTTTGTGCGTGCCTGTGTAAAGCACTTTGAGTTGCCTTGTGTCTGAACTGTGCTACGCTAATAAACTCGCCTTTCCCGGGCCTTGATCGGGGCAGAGCGAGGATGAGGAGAATGAGAGCGGACGTCCAGAAGTATGAAGAATGAACAAACGGCTGCTTCTGTGAAATGAATGGCCGGTCTGTAAATATGGAGGGATCGCGGTGGTTAGCAGGAGCCAGACCGCCTCGCAACAATAGTAACGAGAAATGATTAGCGACAGGGAGAAGAATGCTAACGGCGAGCGCAATCAATGCCGCTATTCATCATTATGGAGTTTGTGTCCAGTCATATCCAGGCGCTCATCCTTACAGAGAGAGGGGAGGGAGCAGAGGCCTCACTCTGACGTTAAAGGACACGTGTGATGCATTATTCATGGTCATTTATGGTCATCCAAAGTTATAATGAGACTGTTTACTACGTTTAACATATTTTGTGTGTTTATCAATGTCCTGCTGTAAAACCGACCTTAGTAATCAGAGTCGGAATTCTTCTTATTGCCATTGTAAGTAAGTGAAGTCATGGTGGAGACCCTAATCCAAACTGGTCATAAGTTGTTGGCCAATAAGATGTAAGATGGACAAGTAGCAGGAAAAGAATCAGTAAAACCAGGAATACCAGACTGGATACCTGCAGGACGTGTTTATGTCGAGCACATGGACATCAGGCTTGGACATCAGGCTTGGACAACAGGCTTGGACAACAGGCGATTTGTCTATGCATATTATTGCAGAAGTTCCTTTTATAAACTTTTACAAACACCAGGGCGGGGTTGCCGAGTTATTTTGACTAATTTCCTTTTAGAGAAACCAGCTCCAAATGCCCTCATCTTCAGCACTTACTGATAGATGTGTTTGTCTTGCTCCGCTTCGACTTCGGCAGCTGCCATATGATCTTTTTTGTGAATTCCAGGGTCTGCATTTAGCTCTCAACTCAGACTTCTGGCTTCTGACACAAAAATGTCTTCTTACAGTAAGGTTTTTAGAGTTTTTTCCAGTTTTTGACTTGTTCCTTGGCAAAGCAGAAGGGTCTAAGGACAGTGGTGATGATCCAGGACCCCTCCCTCAGCTTTGGGTAATGACCAAAAGGATGAGATCTCAGATACAAGCCCTCTCCTCCTCCGCAGAGGGGCTGGGCGTTCCCTGAGATATAGTGGGAGGAGCTGAGTCACATTGGAGGAGCTCGGAGTAGAGCCGCTGCTTCTCCACGACATGAGTAGGGGTTTTCCAGACATGTCCCACCAGGAGGAGACTAGGGGAAGACCCAGGACACGTTGTTGGGACTGTTTCTCTCAGCTGGCCTGGGAACGCTTCAGGATTCCCCCAGATGAGCTGGAGGAAGAATGTGTGGAGAGGGAGGTCTAGGCATCTCTGCTTAGACTCCTGGATGGTCTGTCAATCAAAGATTTTCTGAGTCTTGGTACACTCTTTGCACTTACTAGCTCGCTTTAGTTTGCACTAGTATAAAAAGAAGAAAAAATCCAATTCAAAACCTCCAGAAAGTTTGGGATCCCCTGATGTAATGGATTGGCCATGCATCATTTCACAGAGAGAGAGACGAGGAAATGTGGGGGGGGGAGAAAAACTCATCAAGGAGTTGAAAGAAGCCAAACCCAATGAGTCTCACATGTCAAAAAATCCATGGAAAATAAACTAAGGGCAAGAAATTGACAAGAGAAGACGGTTGGCGCCAGGTGAGGAGCCCGGGCCGTTCTATAATTCCCATTTCAGCTCTTGTGGCGTGCAGAGACTGAGAAACGAGGCAAAAGTGGAGTGAGGGGGAAAGAATAGACAGGAGATAAAGGGGACGGAGTGTGAGAGGAAAGGAGCGATGGGACTTTGAAACAAAAGAACGAGAGAGTCGAGACCAATACCAGGTCCTCCACAGGAAATGCATCCCATCGATCTCCCGCTGCCGTCTCTCCACCGCTTGTTTCTGACTCAAACAATATTATTCTTCCCACTTCAGCGAGCTCACCGGAATCCATACGAGTGGAGGAGAGAGGAGGGGCGGCGCCATCTAGGGACTGCAGGCGATAGGAAGCATGGGGCAATTGTTTTCCCATGTTTTTTTTTTTTTTCTATTGTGCAAATATGACATTTATGGACATTGGTTTTGTATCATGGCATTTCTTGATTCTCGGATCTGTTGTAGGCGAATCGGCGGCTTTGTAAAGTCCTCCCAGATAACTGCTGCTGTGATTTCGGGCTATACAAAAATACATTGAAATGAACTGCAGTGGGTTTCTGCATACAATTTCAAAGATTATTTTTAACTGCAAATGGTATTTAAAGAAATCCTGTCTCTATGGTAAGATCTGTGCCATAGACTATACAGGCCAGGGGTGTCCAAACATTTTTGTAAGAGGGCCTCTTTAGTTCATCAGACTGGCCCAGGGAACGACAATCCGGATTGTCAGCTCTGACTGGATTAGGGCTGTTCTGAGATTTAGAATGAGCGATAACAGAGCTGAAGTTGGCTGAATGATTTTGTGACACACTGAATGACATTAAATACCAATAAAGTAAATGACTGAATTCTAGAGGCCCTGAATTCTACAATGAGGATCAAAATGTCTATATGGCTGAGATTAAGTTGGCTAAATGATCTCAAAGACTACTTTAGATGAAGGAGACATAGGGTAATATACAATAACACAGAGGGCCGCGTTTTGGCAAGTCAACACACAAAAAACTTAAAAATATTAGGTAATAAATGCTTCAATCAAGTGTTTTTTGTCCTAATCTGACACATTCTGACTGTGTTAAAACCAGATTCACAAATGGGACAAAGCCATTTAGTCTTATTTAAAGAACTTTTGCTTAATTTTATCATTCCAAGAGAGACATTTCTTGTATCTTTTAAAATCTTTTCCAAGGCAGTCAGAATGTGGTCAAATGAATTCGAATTTTCACCAATTTTGAGCAAGTTTTGAGTTATTTTTTCATCACTTTTTGCAGTGAAACTATCTGAAAGTAGCTGGAGGGGTGAGCAAAGTCCATCTATATACAGCCTGTGATCTGTGCGGGGAGGATAAACAGAAACTGCGTGTGTTTCTCGCCGCTCTGTATTTGTGTTGAAATCCTTACTGTGGATTTCTCAAGAGATTGTGGCAGAGAAATCAAATGAGTCGTGACGAGAAACTTCCAACCATGCGAAAAACTCCTTAATTCAGCTCAACCCCGGTTCATTAAACTCCTTTGGTGAATCTCAAAGCCAAGTGCAGCCGACTGTTTCCTCACATTTCACAGCACAAGATAAATCCCACTTTTAATTCAGCTTTAGTGGGCGTTCAGTTCACACATGTTGGGTCTGGTTCATTATAACGCTGTGGTCTCAAACCCGAGGCCCGCGAGCCATTTGCGGACCAAGAAACGGTGTCATGTGGCCCCCCTATAGCAGACATCAAACTTTATTGTTCTACTTTCTATTGTATTATGGTATTGTTTTAGTGTCCCCAGTGTCTCCTCTGGAGGAGCCCTCTGCACTGAGAGCTGGGGTCTGCTGTGGCTTCGGGGGTCTGGCTCTTGGATCCGGTGGGGGTCTGGGGCCTCCTCTCTCCTCTGGGTCCTATGGGGTCTGAGTCCTGGGCCTGGTGGGGTCTGGGGCCCCTCTCTCCTCTGGGTCCTGTGTCGTTCCCTGTGGCTGCAGCCGGCTCTCTGCTCCTGGTGCAGATGGCTCCTTGGATGACGCTTCTTCAGCCGGTTACATCTGCTCCCAGCCCCATGTCTTTTTATTGTTTTACCTATTTTACCTGATATGACTTTATACTTGTGTGTGTGTGTATGTGTGTGTGTGTGGGTGTATATGTGTGTGTGTGTGTATACGCATGTGGTTGTATATATAATTATAAATGTGGTTTTGGGGGGTCTGTGGGGAGGAGGGTTTAGGGCTGGGCATGTTGGATTGTTTTTAACTAAACTGTAAAGCACTTTGTGTTACACTTTTTGTATGAAAAGCGCTTTATAAATAAAATTTGATTGATTGATTGAATGTCAGTGCGGTCTTCAATCCAAGCAGCTGGACTCATTTTGTTTATAGAAATATTTAGAGTTATTGTTTGTTTATCTTGTGTGGTGTGCTCCTCATGTCTACTGTACTGCACCGGTAATGCAATACTGAAATTTCTCCACAGCTTATTGGTCGAAGGGTCTCTTCATCTTAATCTCTTGATGTATTCCACTATGGTTTTACTGCAAATAGCAAATGATCAGAATTAGTGGAAAGGCAACCAAGTAGGGTTAGTGTAGAGTATAGTAGAGAGTAGAGTAGTGTAGAGTAGAGTAGAGTAGAGTAGGGCAGAGTAGAGTAGAGTAGAGTAGAGTAGAGTAGGGCAGAGTAGGGTAAGGAAGGGGAGAGTAGAGTAGAGTAGAGTAGAGTAGAGTAGAGTAGAGTAGAGTAGGGCAGAGTAGAATTGAGTAGACTTTAGTAGTGTACAGTAAAGTAGCAGAGTAGCGCAGAATAGAGTAGATCAGGGCTGGTGGAAACAGGGCTACAGTCCTGCAGAGGATGATAAGTGCCCGTGCCCCGCCCGCCCCATGCGTCTCCACTGGACAAACAAACGCTCTGGGGCAGATGGGGCCCGCGGCGCTGGGGCCATCCGGACTTTATTGAGCGTGCAACGACCTGCTGTCAGCGCTAACGGAGCTAGCGGAGCTAACGGAGCACTGAAAGAACACGCCTCTGTCGCCACGCTCTTCACCTGTTTGTCCTCACGCCGCACGGAGAAGGAGGAACGACAAGATGGAGGTTTAACTGCTGTAATTAAAGATGGTGGCACTAATACTTCACAGGTTTGATTGCAACAAAGATGATTGGCCAATTAACATCATGGTTTTAGAGTTTTGGACATTGTCTTTTTACCCTTTCAGTGAATTACGTTTTAAAATGTGGGAAAGCGAGATGGAGGTGGTTACTGTTTTGGTTAAAGCAGAGGTCTCTAACCTCCAACTAGTAGCTCACCAGTCCCTTCCAGGTACTGTAGCTCCCCAACAGATTTAGAATTTAACACAAGATCTTGAGTAGGATAGAGTAGAGTAGAGTAGAGTAAAAAGGACTAGAGAGGACCAGAGATGTCTGTGAAAGGCGGTATATAAATAAAGAGTACTTACTTACTTACTCACTTAAAGAAGACTAGAGTACAGTAGAGTAGAGGGGACTAGAGAAGACTAGAGAGGACTAGAGTAGAGTAGAGTAAAGTAGACTAGAGAGGACAAGAGTAGAGTAGAGGAAAGTAGACTATAGAGGACTAGAGTAGAGTAGAGTCGACTAGAGAGAACTAGAGTAGAGTAGAGAGGACTAGAGTAGAGTAGAGTATAGTAGACTAGAGAGGACAAGAGTAGAGTCGACTAGGGAGGACTAGTAGAGTAGAGTAGAGTAGAGTGAATGAAAATATTTGGTCAAAAATTGCTCAGATTTGGCAAAGAAGTATCTAAATCTGAGCACACTGTGACTGCCTCAAAACTAGATTTTCCGACGAGACAAAGACACAAGACGACATTGGGCCTCATTCACGAACGGTTCTTAGGAACAGATTTGTACGTAAATCCTACTTACGCGGTTTTTACGAAGAAAGTGGCATTCACGAATATTTCTCGTAACCAGAATTTCTCTTGGGCAAGTACAAATCCTACGAGTCCTCAGGAGCACTCGTACGCATTCAGTGCCGACATGTTCACACGCCGGGGTTGTCCTCTTTGGTGAAGTTGAATAAAAATACAACATTCCAGTGATATGTCCGTCATATCGATGTATGTATTTATTTATTTGTAGTAATCTTTATTAGTAATCTTTATTTATATACCGCCTTTTTCACTGCAGATCTGGCCTACTTTTTAATTCATTTTGAAATGAAATGTGCCAACGCTTTATCAAATACATTGGAAATCTTGCCGTGTATTAGTGACCCCTTCCTATTTATAGGGGGCATTTCTTTATCCACGGGCCACAGAACAACGGCATATATACTGCTGCTGCAGGAGGCTGCGGGGTCCGCGCTGAGTCTCTGCGCTGGTCTCTCCCATGGATCTATACGGGTCTGCACTGGTCTCTCCCATGGATCTATACGGGTCTGCACTGGTCTCTCCTATGGATCTATACGGGTCTGCACTGGTCTCTCCCATATACGGGTCTGCACTGGTCTCTCCCATGGCTCTAGACGGGTCTGCACATGGTCTCTCTCCATACGGGTCCGTGCTGCATGCTCCTGGATCCATACGGGTCCGCGCTGGTCTCTCAAGTCAGGTCTATGCGATCTATCTTCGGTCCGCGCTGGTCTCTGCGCACCGGTCTTTCCAGTCAGGTCACTCCAGTCTATGCGGTCTCTCCTATAGGTCCGCGCTGGTTTCTGTGTGCTGGTCACTCCAGTCTCTCCTCGGGTCTGCATTGGTCTCAGCGCTGGTCCGCGCTGGATCTCCTCCCAGGATCCAAAATATTTTGAGATTAATCTCAAAACATTTTGAGATTCATCTTTAAAATAATACATAATATATTTTTAAATTAAGATCATAACATTTTGAGATTAATCTCATCATATTCTTAGATTAATCTCATAATTTTGCTAGTTCGACTTTATTATCATAATATTTCGACTTTTAAGTCAACATTTTATAACTTTATTCTCAGTCTGGTAAAAGAAGAAAAAAGGGTGACTCTTTTGCTCCGTGTAATTGCACCTGGCACGCGCGCTGTACGTACGAGGAAATGGGATTCATCAATCTGAGAGAACAGCTGCGAACAATTCAGCGCCTTACGAGTGCGTTGATGAATCCCACGTGGGGACTTCTTAGAAATCTACTTAAGGACAACTTGAGAAGAAAGTTGAGTAGTTTCTTACGAAGTTATTCGTGAATGAGGCCCATTGTCTTTTTAAGACTTCAGTCCTTTTAAAATGATTACTTTTGCATGATTTTGAACTGATCCAATTTAATACCATTCCATTCATTTTTATTTATCATATATTTAATGTAAAGTCACGAATGTATATAACAGTGTTCAATTCTGAGGGCTTTACAAAGTTGTCGATTCCCCAACGCTGATCTGGGGTGAAATGGCGTCGTAGGAAAATAGTAAAAAAATATGAATCACAAAGTTTGTCAATGGTGATTTTTAGACATTTATTCACAGTTATGGACATTGGTCTCTGCCTCTTATGGACCAATGTCTGGTTCTCTGATCTGCGTTGGCAAATCGACAGCTTCCTAAAGTCCTCCGAGATAACTGCTGCTGTGATTTAGGGCCATACCCAAATACATTGAATTGTCTTGATGAGAAGCAGTCAGGAAATGATCGCCAAAAGGTCTTAGAGAGTGATTCTGGATAACGGGTCAATTACCACGTTAATACATCAGCGAGTTTTGAAACAATCAGCAGGTTTTCGAACAAATCACGTCCATATTTCTTCCACAAATCACTTTTCCTGCAGTTAAACTTTGAAAGCCGACAAAAGTTTGCCCCGTCGTCTTCCATTCTTTCAGCAATTGCTCCTAAACAAAGTGATTTATTTTCTGTCACACGGCTCTGAGATGTGAATTTCCCTAAGTCCCTCTTTCTTCATTCTTATCCATTAGGAGTCTCCCTTTGCTCCGTCATTCTCCGCACATTTGTCTGACGCAGGACCCGAGCTGCCTCTTCTGCCGATTAGAGGAGAAAGGCCAGTGCCATCCATCCCCCACCGCTCACTGGCGAAAGAGGGCCAGAGGTAAAAATGGACCGTACCACCGCCCGACGGTCCGAAGAGGTCCGTGAAGGAGGATTTTGGATTTTTTATATAACAGCGAAGTAATGGGGGTTGTCCTGGGAGCCCTGTTCATAGACTGTTTAAAAGGTAAAGGTAAAGGTGCACTTTATTAATCCCCGTTGGGCAATTCAATCCTCTGCATTTGACCCATCCTGATGCCGCGAAGGCTTACGTCAGGAGCAGTGGTCGCCGTAGTAACAGCGCCCGGGAACCCATCTCCAGATGTTGATGCTCAGCTTGGCCAGGACTACCGGAGCTGGATGATTTAACCTAGTGAGCATGTTTTTAGTGGTAGGAGAAACTGGAGCACCAGGAGGAAACCTACGCAGGCACGGGGATAACATGCAAACTCCACTCAGAAAGACCCTGTTCCGACCAGGATTCGAACCCAGGACCTTCTTGCTGAGAGGCGAAAGTGCTATCCACTCTCTTGTTTTTTTTTGTTTTTTATCGGACTTGGCCCTTAGATTGAAAAACAAAAATCTCTCTTACTCTATGACTGTCTGTGTCACACTAGAACTCCCAGTGCAGTCGGCTTTGAGTTTTGGAATTGTGATAACTCTACAGGGCCTTTATCCCCACCGCTGTCAGACTGTATGTCAGATGTGTAAATACATGTTCTTTGGACCCGGGTTTAAAAGGAGACCACTGGATTAAAAGCAAATAAAAAACCATTTATTATGAAACAAGTAAAAGAATAAAAACCTAAGCTAAAACCAGAGGCTAAAATAGGCTAAAAAATGTCCTCTTGTCCACGGCCGCCAGACCACGGGGCTCCTCCCCTCGTCGTGTCTGGCCCGTGTCTCACTCTCCTGCTGCCTCCCTCCGCCTTCTCCCCATCGCCTTTTGTACGCAAGGCACAAAAGGAGATGTGCCTTGCGTACAATTCCCCCCACGTGATAATTGTAATCACGTGGGGAGCCGGGGTGCTTCGGGTGGTGCAAGTTAAAAACAAATGTTAAAAACACACACAACATTCATAAAAACATGAAAAAAACCTCATTAAAACCCACCACCCAGTTTGCACCCATCGACATGTACAATAACTTTCAGTCTATCAATCAATCTATCAATCTCCTTTATACAAACTGTGCACTGTTCACAGAAACTGGCTTTGTGGCATCCTCTCTTGCTCTTCTTATCTTCAATGTTGTGATTTTACTGTTTTTAGATGACTGTTTGCTGCAAAAACCAATTTCCCCTCGTGGGACCATAAAAATAACTTGAACTCATGCGCCCCAGATGAATTGAGTTTGAGACCCCTGATCCAGCCTAAAAAAAAACACAAAGCAAAAATGGAAAGGAAATGTTTTTGGAGAATAATGAGCTCCATCACAGACTTTCTATTCTCAAACACACGTTCCCTTGTGTGCCCGCGGCCTCCTTCCATCCAAAAACCATTGCGGGGGCCATCACCGTGTTATGATCTTTCAGTGCCAATCAAAATGGCAGCTTTAAACGGATTGGCATTTCCTGTGTGCGGACGGTGTGAAGGTGTGCGGAGGCGGCGGAGGCGGCGGAGCGAGGAGTATAAATCTACACAGATGGAATTACGTCCGGATGATGGCGGCTGCGGTCCACTCAATTTATTTCTCGTCGTCTTATTCCGAAGGTCATGGATTTGCCCTCAAAGGACGGAAAGAGGCGACGTGTCCTGGGTTCTTCTCTCTCTGGTCTCTCTCTTTGGTCTCTCTCTGGTCTCTCTTTGGCCTCTATCTACCCTCTCTCTCTGGTCTCTCTCTTTGGTCTCTCTCTGGTCTCTCTTTGGCCTCTATCTACCCTCTCTCTCTGGTCTCTCTCTCTGGTCTTTCTCTGGTCTCTCTCTCGCCTCTATCTCTGGTTTCTCTCTGGTCTTTCCCTCTGGCCTCTCTCTCTGGTCTCTCCTTCTGGTTTCTCTCTGATCTCTCCCTCTGGTCTCTATCTCGCCTCTATCTCTGGTCTCTCTCTCTGGTCTCTCCCTCTGGTCTCTCTCTCGCCTCTATCTCTGGTCTCTCTCTGGTCTCTCCCTCTGGTTTCTCTCTGGTCTCTCCCTCTGGTCTCTCTCTCGCCTCTATCTCTGGTCTCTCTCTCTGGTCTCTCCCTCTGGTCTCTATCTCGCCTCTATCTCTGGTCTCTCTCTCTGGTCTCTCCCTCTGGTTTCTCTCTGGTCTCTCCCTCTGGCCCCTCTCTCTGGTCTCTCTCCCTGGTCCTCTCTCTTTGGTTTCTCTCTCTGGCCTCTCTTTCTAGTCTTTCTCTAGTCTCTCTCTCTGGTCTCTCTCTGGTCTCTCTCTCTCTGGCCTCTCTCTTTGGTTTCTCTCTCTGGCCTCTCTTTCTGGTCGCTCTCTTGTCTCCCTCTGGCGTCTCACTCTGAGCACAGGGACTGGCCTCTTGCTGGGACTCTGAGGAGCAAAGGGACTGACTTCAACATGAGAAATGGTAAGAAACCCTTATTTAAAAATCGAATAAACAAAATGATCCCTTTCTCACAGACAGATCAGGAAACATGGGCACTCTTTGCATCTGAATATCATCCCAGACGCATTAATCTGTCGTCTGCCGAGACTCCAGCGGTGACGAGAAGAGTCTGAACAATGTGAGAATCATGGAATAACGAGCAGGGAAGTATTCCGAGGAGATCGCAAGGCTTTCGAGGATTTGGAAACAATTAGGGAGAAAAGAACAAGTGGCAGGAGTTTGAAGTGCACAGCTCCGGCCGGCTTCTTAGTCTCTTCACGTTCCCAAGTTTGAGCCTCATTCTGCTTTGAGATTGGAAACGCAGCATGAGAAATATTGACTTCAACAGAAAAGGATAAAATGAGAAAAAGTTGCCCCGTGTTGTCTCTCCGCAAGAAGGTCCCGGCCTCTATAATAAAAATGTAACTTGCTCCTCGCTCTCAAAGTAGTCTGGATGTCTGTGTCTAGTTTTGGTTCAGGTCTGGCTTTGGTCTAGGCCTTTTCAGCCTCAGTCACATCTTTTAGATCAGTTTTTTAAGACAGAAGAGTGAAAAACAGGGAGATCCTCACTCTTTACTGAGAGTGATAAGGAGACAGACAGGGGCCACAAACACACAAGATACAAGAATTTATTTGCCATTTGCAGCAAAACCACATTGGAAAAGCTGTGCAAGACTACCCCAGTGTGCACCAGACACGACACACACCAGAGCTCTTGCCACAGCGCCATCTTTACAATGACAGGTGATATAAAGGTACAAAAAGGACCGTGGTGATGATCCAGGACACTCAACATTTATGGACATTGGTCATCTGCCCCTCATGGACCAAGACCAATGTGTTTCTGTTTTATTTGTTGTGTTTGATTCTCTGATCTGTGTTGGCGAAATCAACGGTTTTTGTAAAGTACTCTGAGATAACTACTGTTGTGATTTAGGGCGATACAAGAATACTTTGAATTGAATTGATTTTTTTTATCCCTATGAGGCAATTTTCTCTTCTGCATGTGACCCATCCCTCTACGCCAATGCTTAATAACACAGAGAAGACCAAGTTTTAAAACAATATGTCTCCTTTAAATGAAACCTGGTTCAGTCGGTCACAGAAAGGACCTGAATGTGGTGAGTGAGAGTCATCCGACTTTGATAACCAGCTCTAGACTAGACTTCAGAGCAGCTCTGCTTCTGTACCCCGCTCCCATCTCTGTGTGGAGTGAGAGGACAAGTGCCCAAAAAATAACAATTGTAAACCGCTTTGTGACTCTGGTCTGTGAAAGGCGGTATATAAATAAAGCTTACTTACTTACTTACTTGTACAAATCTAGGGAGCACAGGGACTGGCCTCCTGCTGGTCCCAGAGTCAGGACTGAACATGAGGAGGCAGCATTTCCGATTCAACAGTCTTCCTGAAAATGTGAAACAGGCTTCTTCTCTGACAATCCAGGTTAGAAACAGTTGTATCTTGACCCATATTAATATACCGTTTATTTATGAACGTCTTGTGTGATTTTAATGTTTCTATCTTATCTTGTTCGGCACTTTGAGTTGCCTTGTGCATGATCTGTGATATAGGGCTAGAAAGCGTAAGTGCGAGATTTTGCGAGTTTTCCACCCGTGGATACAAACAAACCACACGTGCCAGTTGTGTGGTGCTGAGATCGCCCACTTCTTCCTCCCTAATGGATTTTCCTGTGTTATTTTGGACACATTTTGTCTCTGGGACAGAAAAACTGAGGTAGCGGTCGGAATTAGCTGTGAACTCTGGCCATGTCCTGAAGTGACGGGGAGATGAGAAAGGTGCAGGGCCGTGTTCAAACTCGTTTTTAATCCACTATTATGCATCAGAAAAAAAATATAGAACCAGTATTCCCCTACAGATAAATTGATGTTGTCTTTGCTGCTTTGGTTATTAGCCAATGTACAGTGCCTTGCGAAAGTATTCTTTCAACATTTCGCCACATTTCAAGCCACAAACATAAAGATATAAAAAAAAATTTTTTTGTCAAGAATCAACAACAAGTGGGACACAATTGTGAAGTGGAACGAAATTTTTTGGATAATTTAAACTTTTTTAACAAATAAAAAACTGAAAAGTGGGGCGTGCAATATTATTCGGCCCCCTTGCGCTAATACTTTGTAGCGCCACCTTTTGCTGCAATTACAGCTGCAAGTCGCTTGGGGTATGTCTCTATCAGTTTTGCACATCCAGAGACTGGAATTTTTGCCCATTCTTCCTTGCAAAACAGCTGGAGCTCAGTGAGGTTGGATGGAGAGCGTTTGTGAACAGCAGTCTTCAGCTCTTTCCACAGATTCTCGATTGGATTCAGGTCTGGACTTTGACTTGGTCATTCTAACACCTGGATACGTCTATTTGTGAACCATTCCATTGTAGATTTGGCTTTATGTTTTGGATCATTGTCCTGTTGGAAGATAAATCTCCGTCCCAGTCTCAGGTCTTTTGCAGACTCCAACAGGTTTTCTTCCAGAATGGTCCTGTATTTGGCTCCATCCATCTTCCCATCAATTTTATCCATCTTCCCTGTCCCTGCTGAAGAAAAGCAGGCCCAAACCATGAT